TACAAAAGAGACTCTTAACATTCAAATGAAAAGGGATTTAACAAGTAGAAGATAAATGAATTGGTTGGATTATAAGTAATATACATGTGCCCCTTTATATAAATGGAGTTATTATCTTTTAAGTAATTATCTTTAAGTGCATATATATATATATATATATATATATATATATATAGAGAGAGAGAGAGAGAGATAGGAGAGTTATAATAACACCGGTGTAACTTTTACTAAGTATTACACCGTTCAATAACTTTATATTAAATGTGAATTTTGTAAATTCAACCGTTAGATTAAAAGTCCATATCACTGTATATGTTTATATCAAATTTTTTTAAAATTGAATAACAACGTGAAGGTAATCAAAATGTTCATATTTAAGTATATTTTGAAATGTATATATTACATTAGTTTTATTTTATAAGAATGAAGTATCAAATCATCTTGGATTAATATAAAATTTTGTTTATATGATTTAAGAGTAAAGAATTTTTTAATTTAACAGTTGGATTTACAAAATTATCATTTAATATAAAGTTATTGAGCGGTGTAATACTTAGTAAAAGTTATATCGGTGTTATTATAACTCTCCTCACACACACACACACACACACTCACTCACACACACACACACACACATACACACACACACATATATATATAATTATATAATTTTATGGACCTTTTTTAATATATGATTTTCAATTTTCGTAAAAAATTCTTACATTTCTGACAAATATAAATTTGTGGGACATATTCCATCAGTAATATAATTTTTCCTACGAATTTTTTTCCATCAAAAATATAAATTTTTGGACGAATAAATTTGTCGTAATTTAAAAAAAAAAAAATAACATATATTCTTTAATTTTGCATCATTCTTACATATAAAAATTTCATAAATAAAATTTAATATTTTGAGAGGGATCAATAATTCCTCACAAATTTTGTAGCTATTTGTGAGAAATTTGTGACAAAATACAAATTAATGTTGACAAAAATTTCGTCACAAAATTCGTCACTGACTTATTTATTATAGTATTGTGACGCATTTTTGTGAGGGAATATTTATAGAAGAACTTAATCTGTCACTATTTTTTTTTATTCAGTAACAGATTTTGTGATGGATTAAATTTTGTCTCTAAAATATCCATCACAAAATCTGTCACTAATTTTATTTTTTTATTCAATGACGAAAATTGTGACGGATTATTTAGAGACAAAATTTAATCCGTCACAAAATTCGTCACTAATTTTTTTTTATTCAATGGTGAAAATTGTGACAAATTTGTTAGAGACAAAGTTTAATCCGTCACTAATTTCAATAAATGGCAGTCCATCACAAAAATTAAAATTCCCTCACAAAATTCGTCACTATTAATGACGATATTTTTCCCATCATAAAAATTCGTCACAAATATTAATTTTTCTAGTAATTAATTGACAATTTGACATGTTTATATTTTTTTTAAAGTTTAATATGTAATAAAATGGTTAAATTTTGATACACCAACAGTATAAAAATTGAATCATACACTATCAACCATTAAAAAAAAAAAAAGAAAGTTAAGATTTTAATAGAAGCGAATGCTAACTACCTGCTTTTTGATGGTGAAAAATTTTGCACCAAGGGTCGATCAAGTTGAAATTTAGTCATAAAATCATCTTAGTAAATTAAGACATTAAACAAAAACTATTCACCTAGATAAACTCATTTGAAGAACCATAATAAAACTAATGTCTCCTAATATGTATGTGTGTGCGGGTGCGCAGATGCAGGTGTAAATATTTATGAATCTTAAATTCCTAATTTTTATACTTCACTGTTAATATCTAATATTTCACACAATTAATTGAATACACTACAACTATGACCATAAATAATTTAGATATGAATTAGCATACAGAGTAATGCACCATTGTCAGTCCCATCATCATTTGTCCATGGATTGTCTATTTTAGAACATCTTCTGAAAGCTTTATTATCAAAAGTACAGTCAATAGCTTCCTAAGGATTTCCTTATTGAAAAATAAGATCATTCAGTGATAAGCGATAGGGCTTCTTAAATGATCTGGAGAACTCACTTTCTGGGAATTCACATACACTATAGTCCCGCAACCAACACATGCCATCATCTAACCAGAAAAGACAGTCACACCATAACTTCACCTGTAAAAAAATCCCATCGCTAGTCAAAAAGACATGTAATTCAGTTATCATTATTTCAACATATAATGCATCATTAGAGGTACAATTTAAGAATGTTATTCATGGCTTTAAAAAATAGAGCAGTCTGGCAGTTTCAACTGGGAACCAGCCTGATAACAATTCCACATTTTAACTACAAAATCAAAATCAGTAAAAAAACTGAGTGAACTGGTAAAAAACCAGTTAAAATCATTCAATTTACATTTTGGTCCAGTTTCTCAAAAATGGCCAAATGACATCACTTGATTGGTATGCTCCACGAATTTGTCCATGTGTATATATGTCTTTGATTTCAGTTTTGTTTCCATGTTTTGCGATAATTTTTCATTCTAGTATTGACATTTATATTCTTAAATTATAATGGAAATGTGAAGACAGAAAAATCCAAGTATCTTAGTTAATCCAATAAATTATGAATCGAGAACTATAGTGTCTTCACTGCTTCACTAACCAGTCCAGTTTTAGCAGCATTGATGCAAGTAGCATAATATCATTGGTTTTGGTTCATCTAATCTTCACAACTACTCACTCTAAAGTCAAACTTAGTCGATTAATATAAGTAATAACTATACTAAACACCACACAACAACATACAATAGTTTTCCAGCATAACAGGGGTAGCAAGTTCAATATTTTAAAATCCATAATTGTAGATGAAATAGTTAGACATGAAAGGCACTAAGTTCAGTTGATAATGCAAAAGCTTTAATGTGTTTCTACAACATATGTGGTTCTCTCAAATTTCTCTCTTACTGTTAATCAAATCAAAATTCAAATATTCTAGCGATCAAGAAAGCCTTTAAAAATGATTAATCAAAAACAAGATAGAAACCATCACACATTCTTTCCCTATAAAGGCCTCTCAAACCTATATTATGCTGCTGGAATGAATTGGTTGCTAGTAATCTTTAAAAGTAATATCAGGGATAGGATAGGAACCAATGCAAAAGTCAATTTGAACACAAAAACACAAACTATAAGGACCTAACCAAAACCTTAATAGTTTATCAGGCTTTCATCAAACTCAAGATAACCTTTAGAATCAACAGTAAATATCTTAGTCAACAGGAAATTCATTAAGAAAACTAAGCATAATATAAGATGTGACAATAAGCAAACCTTAAAATAGCGAAAGAAAGGGGTCTTAACATCCATTGTACAAATAAACTATTATTTCTAATAGCATCCACAGTAGTTGTGTCTTAACATTATGTTAAACTTAAGCAACTTTCTTAAAAAAAAATCCATTGGAGAGAATCTAACTGGCATATTGAGCAAACACAAAAAAAGAGGGTTTAAGCCAAGGTTCCATTTTTATACTCACAAACAAGCACACTCCAAAGTCCAAACCAAACGAAACCCTCAAAACCCTAAACAAAACCCCTCTTATTGTCGTCGCAGCCATGGCAGAGCTGAGACTCTCGGAAAGCTGTGACCTGACCCGAATCGAGCGCGTGGGTGCGCACTCCTACATCCGCGGCCTGGGGCTGGACTCCTCCTTCTCCCCACGCGCCGTCTCGGAGGGCATGGTGGGACAGGTCATCGCGCGCAAGGTTGTTGGCGTCATCCTCCAGATGATAAGAGAGGGGAAGATCGTCAAGCGAGCCATCCGTCATTCGAGTGCGGTAGCAGCTCGCTGGAGCCAGAGTTCTCGACTAGGGTTTTGACGCAGCTGAGGTTTCACCACAATGCTAGGTCTAACCAAAACTGAACAAATTTCTTTGTTGAACATGATGAACATAATGTTTTTCGTGGAGAAAGGGCTCCAATGTAACGACCCGGCTGGTCACTACACACGGCACAACACACTAGAAACACCGCACAGAAAAGAACAACTGTATACATATAGAGTCTAGAATATACATATACATGATCCAATCTGAAACAGAGTTAAAGTGTACCAAAAAGGAATACAATCATATACTACTGTCCCAAGTAGCTCGACAACAAAAAGAATCATAAAAGAGATCAGCTCCACCGGTCTGCTGGAGACTCACCACAAGACTCCCACCTATCCCTGCTCTGCTCCCATACATAGTATGATCATTGCAGTCCAAACATCATGGAAACAACAAAGGGTAAGCTAGTGTAATTAAAAATCAACATACAAAATATATATCAATATGATAAACAACCGCTACAGCTATCAGCACACCTGTACAGCTTATACCACTCACAACACGTAACAATATCAGCACCGCAATGCGACAATATCAGCACTGCTCAACAGCAATAACAGCACCACTCAAGTGGCTATAACAGCACCGCAAAGCGGCAACAACATCACCGAATTAGCGGCTATCACAGCACCACATATGTGGATAAATACAGCACCGACTTAGCGGCTATAATATCACACCACTCAGCATAGCACAACACAGCACAGCACAGCACAACATAGCACAGCACAACAATTCAACATACTTATTTTCACGATTCAGCCCAACACTGTATATAGTTCCACCATACTATAAAGTTTTTCATTTTAATTCATCAATTCCAGCTCAACAATATATCCCTATTACAGCCTCACATCATTTTCTCAGTACTATCACCTAGTCATCACAGCATGTTCATCAAATATAACTTAGTTCAGCATATAACATCATTGACTAACAATCTCAGCACAATTCAACAGCCAACATCATATATCTCAATATCTCCTTTCGCGCCCGGCGCACTCGAGGTCGCGCCCAGCGCAGCTCAACTCGAGAGCACCAGGGGCCATCGCGCCCAGCGCCAGAGTACTCGCGCCCGGCGAGACTCAACCCGAGAGTCCAAGGCTCTCACGCGCCTGGCGCAATTCCAAACCTGGCGCAATTCCAAGTTGCGTCCAGCGCCTGCCAGGCAGAGACTCTAAGGAGTCTCATGCGCTCAGCGAGGCCTAACCCGCGCCTAGCGTGGGGAAGGCAGAGACCTACCAAGGTCTCGCGCCCGGCGCAATTCGCATTGCGCCCAGCGCCCTCTTGGCAGAGACCCCCAAGGAGCCTCCGCGCCCAGCGAGTCCAAACGCGCGCCTAGCGCGACACCATAGTACCCCAAACGTGTCACCATTGATATCGCGCCCGGCGCAGCCCAAGTCTCGCCCGGCACGGGCCAACCAGAGACTCCCATTTGCAAGCTCGCCCGGCGCACACAGCTTTGCGCCCGGCGGGCTTGCCTAAACAGAGTCTCTTGGTGGTCGCGCGCCCCGCGCGAAGAACAGCGCCCAGCGCGAACTCATCAGTAACTCTCCCCAAGTTCGAAAATTACCCAAACCTGCAAAACTTAACAGAAAACCAGCATGCAATCCAGCCAAAAGTTCCAATTTTCATCCAAGATCAGTAAAAACGCTTCATTTTCAACATGCAACCATATAACAAGCATTTCTCAAAATTTCCTCAAGGACCCCGAAAACCCGAAAACCCGAAAACATCAATTTCTGCAGTTCTCAGCTCAAATTTAGCAACCATTAAACCACCGAAGAGTTCTTAGAACTCGTTTTCAGCCACACAAATCAAAGGACTAGCTTCCCTTACCTCGGTGACGAATCCGAGCTTCTGGGAATGAGATATGGAGGAGAGGGTTGAAGAAGAATTTGAACAACCGAAGGAGGGGAAAAGAAGGTTCTGAAACTCAGCTATGAAACCACAGCTACTCCGCACTACCACCTTGAGCCCAAGAAAGTGAATAAGCCAAGAAGAAGGATCCAAGCAAAAAAAAGAGTGGGTGAGTCAAGAGAGATGAGAGTGAGACTTGAGAGTGTGTAAGGGTGGGGGAGAAAATAACGGGAAGGGGAAAAAAAGGGGCTTCACATCCAACACGAGCCAACATATGTCTCTCAATACTACATCGGTTACTGGGTGAACCGATGTAGATGTATTTGTAATTATTCACAAAATTGCCACCGCACATTCAAAACGACATCGCTCCCACCGAAAACGATGTAAAACGCTCAATATTTACATTAGTCTCAGTCATAACCGATGTAAATAAGCTTTACATTATACTTTTATTTACAAAAATGTCACCGCATTCGATTTTTACATCGTTTTTACCTAAACCGTTGTAGAATTAACGATGTTGAACAGTCACTTTCTAGTAGTGCATATATACTTCTTTGAGTAGGTCACTTGATCAACCCTTATACCACATGGTCACAATTAATTATAGCACACAAGAATTTATAAGAAATTCCTACATTTATTAGTAAATTTGTATAAAATAATTAAGTTCACTTTTAAACGTTAAATATTTTCTAAAATATTTTTTAAATAAAAAATCAAATAAATTGATGAACGCATACTAATGTGATAGATATATCAAAATAGAATTTGTAACAGCCCAACAACCCGCATGTGGATATTGTCCGCTTTTTAATTATAATCGTAGATATAAAAATTTATAAAAAAATAATTATGATATATATTTATGCTTTTAAAAATTATATGTAAAATTTTTAATACTACAAATATATAAATAAGTATTGCCCCCACTATCTAAAATTTCTGGATCCGTCACTGCATACACCCGATCTCAGGTGAGAACATCTAGCGCCCATCGTGGGACCGATCAAGAAATCTCTTATCGGCCAATCTTATGATTCTCACCCGAAGCCATAACAAG